CTCTTGCGGACGTATCGATGCATCGGATCGTCGGCTGTTGGATCGATGCATCGATACAAAACGATTATTATTTACACCCCTATCTGTCAATATGCTCTATCCAGAAGTCTTAAAGTGGAAAGATTTTAGTTTCATCGGATTTAATTCCTTAAAAAAAATCTTCTTTAAGCAACCTTTGGCTATCTGATTATTAATTGATTAATCAAAAAAATAATAAACAGATTAATCGATTTGCAAAATCATCGTTAGTTGCAGCCCTAGTTAAAATACAGGCCCGGGATTTTTTTCATATGACTAGTTTGCTTTTTCTGTGCCTATGTGGATTCTCTCTCAGGGTACTTTGGATTCCTCTCAAGCTTTAAAAACACAAATGTAAGGTTATTTGGTCTCTCGAATTAGCCCACAAAAGTGTATGCAAGCATGGTTGTTTATAAGGTGTATCTCTGTAACCCATTGATGTAACCCACCTGTTGTGTGTTTATGACTGCTGGAGATAGAAGCCAGCCTCACCTGTAATCCTACAATGATAGGTGAATATAAAAGAGGGATAACTCATGATCACCAAAACAGTATTGGACACAGTGTAACATGTGTTGATCTTTGTACATTGTTGGAGTGCAGCTAGAGCAGAATCGCCAAGTTTAATGTCTCAGTCTCTGAAAAATAGCGGCCATGAGTCCATCACTGACATTGTGTTAGTCATTTGCCTATTAAGACAGAGTCTACTGCACATTCCTTTGTAGAAAAAACTTTATTCTTAGACAAATAAAGGCAAAAATGTATGAAACAAGACATTCAAAATGCTCAAAAGAGATATGATTAGTTTTTAAATTTGGTTTGTTTAATGTTTTTCATATGGTTTCTATTGATCTCTATTAGCTGAGTGAAGAAGAATAGAAATGCTTAGAAAATAATTAGAATTTACATGAAAATACTTTAAATTGTAAGGTTAAAAGCAAAGAATGATAAAATATGTATCACATTAGAATTCAAAATAAAAATATTTTTACTATGTACATATATGAGCAAATTAAATATGAAATGCAATTGTTAACTCATGACTCATAATGTAAACACGTCCTCTTCCGTGGCGGGAACAGCTCATCAGGCCAGAATCTGGTTTGGTTTAAAATTGTCCTTAGTGTCAACGGAGGTCAGGCCATCTCACTGCTGGCTGAGGGAGGAGAACTGTTTTCTGCCTCATGAATATGTTCTGTAGACTTGATGACCTCAGGGTCTCTTGGACTCGCAGCCATGTCCTCACTGTTGCAGTTAATGGGGGAGCCAATTTCTGGTGAGCGGTCCCCGGGCTTTTCTGATGTGCCCTGCAGTGGAGTGCCGGGGAGAGGTATGTTCAGCATGTACATCATGTTCCCCAGCCTTCTGGATACCTGCAAAGAGACGTATGTTAGTTTTTTTGTTTTTACCAAATTGGTTAATAGAACTAATATATTTTTGAAACTAACCTCCATACATATTTCTTAGAATAATAATTTTTGTGAGAGTCAGTAACCTGAGACAGCATTTTTTCCACTTCAACAAACTCCCTTAACGTCCTCCTCACTGTGTGCTGTCAAAGATAAACCTGCTTAATTTTCTTCTCTTTTTAACCACAGTTCCAGTTATTTTAGTCTTTCAAATCATTACTTGGATGATAGATATAGTGCAACTAGTTTTTGTGTTACCATGACTCATGAAGATCAACAAACGTTTTTAATGAAGGGTTATTTAGCTGCGGAAACAAAACGTGTTTAAACTTTTCCTTATCTTTCTCATTCCATCCTAAAGTTGCTAAGAAAAATGAGTCAGAGCTTCCTCTAGTATTTCTGCTCCAGGTCATCTTAAGGTAATCGCTTTCTGAAAAGTGAAATCATGATCCGGAATCAGTTTCTGGCTCAATTAAGGCAACATTTTAATGCACTAAAATGAACCTATGCACTGTGCTTTCCTACATTTGTCCTGACAGTCAGGTGATCTATGAAGTAAGATCAATAAAGAATAAATAATCTCAATAGCATAGGCAAAAAAGAGAAATATTCTGATGTATTACTACTGCACTAAAAGTATTAATATTATGTTTTTGCAGCCTAACTAGAAAGCTAGTGATTGTTGCATTTCTCTTGCTTATGAAACTACCACACAGCAGAATCAGGCTCTAGGTTTCATTTCATTTTAAAGGGGTAAATATAAAATAAGAGTGGACTGATTTAGGTAGCATGGGTACATTTACTTTTTTTGATAAAATCTATGATTGCAGGGAGCCAATTGGAATGACCTTAAAGAAGACAGTTTGAAAGGTAAATCATTACATCTGAGGTGTATCAAATTTGTCTGTACGCTATTTGTTCTGACTATGTTTCACAGCAGTGGAAGTAAGATTTACAAATCACACCCAGAATCAGTCTGATGAACTCTTCTATGCCAATCAAATTACAACTGAAGTATAATGTATTCGTATAATACAGCCCATCAAAAGCAGATCGACTTTCATTAAACCTATGCTTAGTATATGCATATGCCCACCAAATTAGGGTTTGTTGCTTGCTCTTCCTTTTAACGGAAGAATCCTTTACTTTAAAATAGTCTAGTAGCTCTATAGCTCTTTTTTTTCATTTTGTCTAGTTTTGCAGATGACGAATTAATTTATATGACAAAAAAATATCCAGGCTTTTTCTCAAGCATTTATTTTATCGAGATCCTTTTTCGCTGTCTAAGTACCTGTGAGCGTATTTTCAGAGCTGGGCCTAGCTTGAGCCCTAGTGTGTCCAGTAGATGCTCCTCTGAAAGAAGTGGAAGAGTTTCGCCATCAATCATGTGGTCCTTGAACGTCTGGAGAAATAATTTTAAGTCAGAATTAAGTTATAAAGAAAAGAAAGAGAGAAAACATTTATAGAAATGGTTCCCATGACCAACCTGAGCATACTCTGAGCATGTCGGTATACTGCTAATGAAGTTGTAAACATCGTTCACTGTCCACTTCCTTAAGTCCTCTGGAACTTCCTCACCATTTAGAAAGAGGTTTGGTGGGCCTGGAAAACAGATACTGAATCTAAGTATAATAGATCTAAACAAATAGATTGCAACCACGTCTATTTCCCAGACTTACCACTTGGAAGAAAACCATTTCCTTGGACAGGGAACACATAAGGCATCCCTGTGAGAGCTCCACCGGTGGAGGGATAGATGAATTTTTCCTGGAAAGCCGAACACTGACTGGGTATGTCTTTATCATTGGAAGCACCGTTGGTAATATCTGAACATCCATCCTGAGTGGTTGCGCAAGTCTTACGCAGGCCCGCCTCCCCCTCTTTGTAGCTCTTCCTGCTTCCTATGGCCAGCTCAGGGTCTGTTTTCACCTGATGGTGTGTCTTACTCGTGCCACACTCCTCGCCCACATCCCCCTTTGCTTCTAACTCTTTCTCCTCTCCTGATGTCGCCTCTGGACTCTGCTCTACACTTTTGTCCTCAGTTTGACCCTTCAGGTTGGGCACCTGGTTCTCTGTACTCTTATGTACAGTAGGCCTTCGCCCAGCCCTACGACCTCTCTCTCTGTGCAGCGAGCTGATTGGTGGATAGGGGTTGGATGACATGAGTATGCTGTTGGAATGAAGCTCATCTAGGGAGGGACGGTGGACAAAGACCTCATGGCCGTCTGGCATGCGCTGGCGGCCCCTAAAGAGCATGGGGTTGGAAGGGTACGACATGGGATTCTCTATTCCCATCAGTCCTTTTTGGTGAGCATTCTCAAGCTCTTTCTGGTGCAGGATGGCGTTCATCTCCATCCTGAAAATCAGTTAACACAAACATGTCATGCATTAGTAAAAACTATATTTCTGCTTAAAGAACTGAATTAAAACATTGTTTTAATAAACACATAGCGGTGCAGCCTGATAGCAGGTTGAAATTTTTTTCAGGTGCCGATAGTTTTGCTCCTGCAATACCTTGCTATATTTTGCTTGTGAAGGAGCTCCTGTCGCCTGGCAACGTTTTCCATTGGTTCTGAGGGCAGGAAGCCATACCCACCTGAGAAGAAGAAAGAATATGAAAATAGAGAACAGGATGTTAAAGGTCAAAACAAAGCCTGAAGTTGTGTTAGTTGGGAAGCTGTGCTCACCTGGTCCTGGGAATGCTCTGCCAGGCAGGACATTGGCATGTGGTGGAAGGGGTGGACCGAGGTGATGTCCCATGTGAATCTGCCTTGCTTCGGATGTTACCATCTCTGCAGGAGGAACCAACTCCCTAATGAGATAAAAGTAGCAGGATGAGATGGTAGGCAGCGATATATTTGCAGCTAATTTAACAGCTTGTTGACAATTATTGCTAAGATATGTTTTGGCCTTCGTGTTTTATATCTTTTTGTTAGTTTCATGATGCTGACATATTCCGGAAGTCATTCCAATATTAATGTGTTTCAACGTTTCAGAAATGTTCAAATGTTGGAAGATGCATTTCATTTAAAATGTAATCCTAAATAAACGTGGGTAGTAATAGGAATGGTTGTCTTAAAAAAGATCCTAACACATTATTAGCAGAACATAAGGAAAGGAGCTGTTGAAAAAAACAAAGTAATGTTCATTGGTAGAAACTCAAGGGGAAAATGACAAACATAATTACTGTAACCATGGCCACATTTGCTGCATTTTATTTTATTTCTTTAGAATGTGTTACTTGGATCTAAGAATAAAATCACAGGGACTTTACAAAATTTTACCTGCACGTTAGAAATCCAGTGGGATTTGCTCACTTTAATCACTAACCTAGCCATACAAGCTTAAATAAAGCATATATCTGCATGTGCATTGTATTCATTCTGATACTAAAGTAAAGAGCTCACTAAATTGTCTGAGGTGCAGCTGTCACTACTGTTCAAACAGCAGCAGCCATGTTGGATTCAGAGGCAGTGGTTGGAACTCACCCTTACAGAGTCCAGAAACCTTCCTGTTAAATTTTCCAACTTTAGATTTGAGAATCCTGATTTTTATATTGTGGAATATTGGTATATATGTATATTTATACATTTAGGGGAAATAAGTATTCTGGTGGTGAATGAATAATGATAAATAATGATAAATTTAGGTACAGACCTTTCCATAAAACGATGTTCAAACTGTGTTGGGACCCCCTGTAACCTCTGTTGGCCCTGGGCGAGGATCTGTGGAGCCATGGCCATCTGGTTCCTCATTATCAGCTCCTGCCTCTGCCTTAGCTCTGTGAGAGCAGAGAAAATACCAGTAAGAATGATCTGTAATGTTACTGTAAATGCTTTGCAGGAAGCTGCAATCTACAAAAATCGGCAGATAATACTTAATGCCAAGCCATAAAGGTGTTTTGGCATAAAGTCCAGCTTCGGATGCTCACCTCCAGCCGACATGCCGTTGACCAATCGGTACCAGTGCTTCTCATCTAAAGTCCCCTGGTCACTCAGTGCTGTCATCTTCCTCAGCTGCTCCCGTGGAGTCATTACAGCACACCACCTTCAATCCAAAGTAGTGCTGCTCAAAACAGAATCAAATATATGGTTTTATTTTATTTTAAAGAAATGTGAACAGAACTTCCCAGTTATGAGGTATAAAGTGGATTGACCTTCTGATTTACCTAAAAATTTCACTTCAATTAAAAATATTTTTCAATATGTATAGCTTGGTTACATTTTCCCTGCTTGGATTTGCAGGTGATAAAATTGTACTCTCTTCTTCTCACCACTAGAGGGTAGCAGTTATCCTTTTTAGATATGAGCACATCTGCAAATAGAGCAAGTTTACCCTGCAAGAGTTTTTTTCAAACTTGCTTTTAGGGTGTTGTGCAACATTTTAACCTCTGTTCTCACCTTTACAACTAAGTAACAATTCTAAATCCCCCTTGGCTGTAACCTTCATCACAAAATTAATCTGTAAATCCAAATCCTTTACTTATGCAAAGGCCAGCAAGTATTCTCTCTTGTTAATGATTGTGTCCTACTGATATCCTAACAAATACATTTAGTTAAGATTTAAGTAAATTAACAAAGCCATAGACAAGCTTTAAATTTTCACATTGTTTTTGGCTCTGTGAACAGCTTGCAAAAATAAATTAGCCTCCTCTTATTAACCTACTGCATTGCCCAAATCCCATTACTAAATATGATACTGTAAACGACTCAGTAATCTAGTGCTACTAATCCAGGACAAGCCTGCGATATGCATCTGGATACATGAATATGAACCATTCTGTCATTGGCCACCCCTTCAAATGAATCCTCTTAGGCTGATTAAAGTAGCATTTGATTGATATGTTTGTCATTGTAGGAGGCATGTGTTAATGGTGCACTTTTATTATTCCTGATGTACCGTTCCTTCCAGACAAATGCTGCCACTAAAAATGCCCTGGGGCATCGTGCATTATCCTCAGTCCCTCAAGTTCCCTCTAAAAGCCATGTAATCTGAGGGCTGTAATCCTCGTGTTAGTCCTGCAACAGTCTGCTGCCTACATCTGCTGACCTTCCTGGCCCATCCCAACACCCCCCCTCCTTCCCATCTTCCCAGGCCCCTGCTACCCTTAGGATCCTATTAGCTAAGTCCTGGCTATACAGCACTTTAAAGGGATGTGTTAGAGGTAATCCGCACGTTTAGAGTTTTACCCTCAGCAAACCTTGCCAGTAAGCATCCCGGACAATACACCTCTAAGTGCTAAGCCTATTAGTCTCCATTAGCTCCCAGGATGTCCCAAAAACACCTTGGGGATAAATCTGGGGAAGCAATCGGTTTATGTGGAGCTATGTGGCGCACACATACGCACCATCCAGCTCTTTCCTTATCCTTGTCAAAACCACTAATATTATCGAATCAAATTAGATAATTTTTTTTCTTTCCTGTTTATCCTGAAACAGGAGTGGGAATCACAGAGTGGGTCCCAAGCTTTAGGTGTAATTTTGTTAAATAAAAGGCTAAAAATTCTTCCTTTCTTCTGATATGTGAATTGACTTGTGCAGAAAGACAATCCACATATCGACGTAACATAATTTTAGTAAAACTTGTAAGTAACCTAATATGGAGTAATGTAAATTTCCTGCTGTACCGCAAACATAACAAAGTTTTAAATTTCCAAATATAAAAGGAGAAAAAAAGGCTTAAGAACTAAAACAATTTTAGGAATCCTTTTTGTTTTTTATATCCCTTGGTAATGTTTGACATTATTACCTAAAAACCTCGAAGTTAAGAGAACAAATATAATGTAATTTTGATGAACTAGAGAGAAGATATAATTACAGGCAGAATCTAAATGCCCAGATGTAAAGTGATTAAGCAAACATGATAACTATATGCATTTTAATAAATGTTATGAAAGTATTGAACAACTCAGTGTTTAATAAAAGCAATGTACAAGCATGAGGTGGTTTAGGAAAGGCTGAAAATGGTTTTATTAAAAGGATAATAAGATGGAAGAAAGAGGTTAAACATCAATGGATGTTCTTGCTCACTGTAGATTTTTTTTTTCTTTCTCAGTGTCCTGTCTGACAATTTGGCAATAAGAATAATTGTGTTGATGCCAAAAAGAGCCCAACAGATTTTGCTTTAACAAGTGTAGCAGTATGGCTTTCACCACAGTGTTGCGCTTGATTTATGCATGTAAATATCTTATTTATAATCAATGCAGTGAGTATTTCAAATTATATGGACACTGCAATGGGAAAGTAGAGCAGGAAAGAAAAAACAGGAAAAAGGAGAAAAGATGAAAGAAAGAGGAGATAAAAGGGAGAGAATAATAAAAGTTCTACTGTCTGCTTCGTCATATGCAAAGAGATGTAAAAAGAACAGCACAACCAACGGATATATGTAGTATAAGAGGTACAGTAAAGTAACACCTTCATACCATTGCTTAAGAATATGTAGTATCATTTAATCTGACATGTATAATGTGGTAGCTGAAGATAAAAATAGAGCCTTTCTGTATGGAAGTGAATCTCTAAGTACCTGGAACCAAGCACCTGTAGTTGTTTCTGAGAGTACACTTGTGCATGTAAAGTTTATCCAAAGGAAAAATGCTCAATAGTGGTTGTGAAGAGCCAAAGACCCGCCCCTCCAGAGCACGTAGGCAAGTGCCTGGGGACCCAAAACCCCAGATGCCCAAAGTGACCCCCAGAGCAAAAATGTCCAAGAGGGGCCAACACAGGAAATCTGCCACCCCACCACAGGATGAGGAGAGACTGCCCTGAGCAAATCCTCCAGCCGCCGCAATGCCGATCGCAGTTTGGTCAGTGTGTAGATATTTTTCCAATGGTTGTGTTCATTTCAGTAATGTGTAAAAATGACATGAATAAAGATGAGTATAGGTATGCTTGATTGTGTTTATGTTTATGCGTGCATACATTTTTTTTTTTCTCCCTTATTGGACTTTTGGGATAGTTTTGATTTGTAAATAAAGTAGGAATAGGCTTGATTATTGGTTTTAAGGACTAGAGAAAGGAGAAGAGGTTTTATTAAAGAACTTCACTTCTTTATACCCCTTTTCAAGCATGATCACTAAATTGTAAATGTAATGTAATTATATATTATGGGTTACACATAATATTTGTATGTATTATTATTATGAATCTCATTGGACTGTCTGAAATAAATTCCTTTATTAATCATATATATGTATTGTTTAAGTTAAAAGTAATCATCCCTTCATCTATCCAGTCTATTGTAACACATAACACATGTGAAATCATGACAATAGGTAAGGTTCGTTTAATTTTTGATTTACGGAACAATAAATACTTAGATTTCTAAACGAAGCTAAACAGATGTCAAAATGTGTTGTAAGATAATCAAGCTCTGTTTTGAAGGTTCCAGGTGGAAGTGTGATTGATTACATTCTTCTTTGTTTTGAGGTAAAAATAAATGGAGTCCAGACTCTAGTAAAAAACTGTTTATCTATCTAATACATAATTCAAATAATAAATATGCAATTTAGTTATAAACTGCACAACTGAATAGTTAAATTTCATATAAAATAATCAAAATTGCATTGAATGTAATGGAAAATATAAAGAAAATATATGTATTTAAAAATTAATATAATTCATTAAAATATGTATTTTTTGGGGGTCGCCAGTCTGCATCACTGTTTTTGAGTTTTATAGTTAGATATCCTTTAAAATTAACGATACAGAAATATTTTATCTTTAAATATTTTTACCTGCTCAGCAATAAATGGGACACGCAAAAGTTTTAATAATTTGAACAAACTAGCCTGTTTTTTTTAATCATAAAGCGAAGACATAAAGGGTAGTTTGAATTTAGCTCATTAAAAGGACATAAAACTTAAAAACTTTTCAGCTTGATTGAGTTCTATTTTCATGATCTTGCAAAAATGTTTTTCTTAAGAAGATGGATTGTGTCCGAGCGTTCACCCTAACCCCTAAAACCCTGAATCACTATAGAGAGCAGCAACTATATAGTGGATTTTATAGTGAACTCAGTTAAATGATCGTTCAGACAGATGATCAGTACTTTTCGCTCCCTGTTGGTCATGTAACTCTGCCTCCCCGCGTGGTGCCAGCGCCATCTTTGTTCTTTCTCCGCGCCACAGCAAATTCCATGATGCTTTACAAGGAGAGCTCTTGCAAAGCATTCTTGGATATATCTGCTCATCTAGTGACCATGGATGATCACTACTTTTAAAGGCGCATTTGTTCGAAATGTTGAATCCATTAGTTTTTCATCCACTGGTGAGACACTCATCTAAAATGGCTTCATCACTATATAGTACACTATATATAAAGCCATGATGCTGAGAATCAAATGTCAATAATGTAAGCAGTGACTCCCATCTGACATCACTCTGAGTCGGGCCAAGTTCACTGGCCAACTCGGACAACTTGCGGCCTACGATTCAGAAAAGCTGAATGTAGTGTCATGTGTTATATGAAACTTAACTAATAATAATTGATTGGTTTTAATGTTGATTTGAATGACCTAGTGATTAGATATAACTGGCAGTTCTA